CGACGTGGCCACATCGAGATTCTTGAGAAAAATTCCTAACTCTTTTTTTTTTTAATAAGAAATTTTCAATTGTTTTGAGTGTTGTTTTTTTTTCTTCGTGTCTTTTTGTTTGTTTTTATGTTATTTCTTTGTTTTAGTCTTATGTTGTTTGTTTTGGTTTACACAGTTTATTTCAATGAAAAGAAGAATAAGATTCTATCATAAAAAAATGGTATGGGGTTTTTTATGCTTTTCCTGTTGTTTCATTTTTTAGTTTGTTAAATTCGAATTAGGATTAATCGAGTATTTGTTCATAGGTACAAAATTTGCTTAATAGTCTTTTTGAAGCAAGAGAAGAAACCATCGGAAAAGTGTTACGATTTAATTACTGGCTATTCCTTTGGGTTTTGTAGATTTTATTTGTTCAATTTGGAAACGAATTTAGCAAGACTCTTTTGTTTTAGACCCATTTTTCTTCTAAAAACCCAATTTTGTTTTTTTAAACAATGTAATATATAGATCCGTTTTGTATTAATTTTCCGATTAGTTAGTATGCATGATATATTGGATTCTCTTCATTGTCATATTTTATGTTACTTTAGTATGTTGTGTGCATGGTTGTTTAAACGTGGGATGGAATTTTGAACCTAATATTCTGATTTTGTATTTTTTTAGGTTATAGAGATCAGTGCAAAAACTTTTAAAAGAAAATCGTGGACTGGAGGATACAACTTCTCACCCTCAGGTTATTCCAACCAATCTATTCCGCTGAGCTTGCTAGTAAGTCTCCCTTTGCGAAATTTACTTTCTTAGCTTTGTTATGGTTACAGACTGGGTTAATATATAACTACTTGATTTCTTGTCTTTTTTTCTTCTCAATAGTCGACCATGTGATGTTCCTGTTTGTCATAGTCCCTAGAAAAGATGACTGAGTCTTCTATTTCCCTCAAGGACATCGAGCCGGTGTGATTTCATCTTTTTACCTTTTTGATAATTTTTTTTATTTCTGTTTATTTCTCTTTGAGTCATATTTCTGAGATATTTTTGAGAGAACATGTGCAACAAGATCCTGCTGGAGTCACTCAGCAAAGATGAGAGCTGTGATTTCAACCATAGAATCACTCAGCTGAAGCATAAAGCTGGGAAGCATAAGTAAAAGTCAACATGGTGACGTGGCATAAGCTGGAAAGCAGAAGGAAGAGTCAACGTGGTGACGTGGCATCTCGAACCAATCAAACAAACAAGTGGGTGTGAACAGCTGAAGCAGATAGTGGAGTCTACAGAATAAAGATGTGAACAGTTGGAGCAGATGGAACAGTCTGCTAGATATAAAGTGGTGGCCACTCAAGTCAACAAGGAGCAGATGGGAGAGTATGCTGGATATAAAATGGAGTCTACTCAAGCCTACAACAAGTAATGGGAAGTCTGCAGGGTAAAAGGTGGAAGCTACACAAGTCATCAACAGAGGTATGGTAGGACTTGTCCTTTGGAGAAGGAGTGTCAGGCGCGTGACACTGTAACTGTCGGTTCTA